CTTCTCTGAACTATACTGAATGTGGTTTAAAAAAATGAAAAAAAAAAAAAAACTTCAGAATACATAAACTAAAAGAACATATGTGTGTTTGTACTTCCATAAACGTTTAGAAGGCAAGCCAGTAGTTGCCTGGGCATGGAGAACGCATACTGGGGATTGATAAACACGTTCCTTATCTCGACTATAATGGTGCTTTCATGATCTTCGGAAAACTCAACAGACTGTACAGTAAGTAAGTGTTGCCTATGTCTATTTCAATAAGGCTGTTTAAAAAACAAAAACAAAAAAAAAACCTAAAGCGCAAATACTCATGCCTCCTGTTCTCACCTGACTTTATCCAATTCTTACTGTCAGAGGCCCCGTCCCTCAAAATCTGCAGTTGTAGAAGTTGATGACACATGTCTTGGCGCTGTGGAAAGGTTTATTCTGCTTCCTAGATCCTAAGCGGGAGCAGGTCAGACCTCTGGAGCAGTTCCAAATGCCTAGAAGGACCTTGAAGGGAACAGTGGCCTTGGGTTTCCATGATGGAAATGGGATAGGCTTCCCATACAGGAGGGGAGTTCCTGACAGAACCAGTTGACACCATAGAGATGGGTCAGCTTATCTGACGATCATGAAGGGATTGGGGAGGAGGGTTTGAGGAACTTACATTTTCATCAGCAAGAGGGAGTCTTCTTTCTTTGGTCTGTTAGTTCCTCTTTCCTTGTTGTGGGGGTGGGGCTGGGGCGGGGAGCACCTCTCTTTTTTGGTATATGCAATCAATTATTCTCGTTCAAATGATATCCAATGAATGGTCCTAACCAGAAGGACTCTGATTTTCCATTAAACCATATCCCTTAACTGCAGGTGTGCACGTGCAGGAATTGGTATTGGAAGGATTTGTGATTTTTAGACCAGTGGAAAAGCAAGTTCTTTTTTCGCTCTGAATATAGCTCCTTGTTGAATTGCTCCTAAAAGTGGAATATAATACCTTCTGTGTTACAGACAACTTGGTCTGTATAATGTGGCAAAGCATTCTGGGTCGCTGGCTGCAGCAGGTGGCAGTTCTTGAGGTCAGCAAATTGTATGTTATCCTTTAAGAGTTTACTAAGCTCTGGGCCCAGCAGCGTGGCCTAGCAGCTGAAATCCTCACCTTGAACGCCCGGGATCCCATATGGGCGCCAGTTCTATCCCCAACAGCCCCGCTTCCCTTCCAGCTCCCTGCCTGTGGCCTGGGAAAGCAGTCGAGGACGGCCCAAAGCTTTGGGACCCTGCACCCACGTGGGAGACCCGGAAGAGGCTCCCGGCTTCAGATCGGCCGTTGTGCTCACTTAGGGAGTGAATCATCAGATGGAAAATCTTCCTCTCTGTCTCCTCTCTGTATATCCGCCTTTCCAATAAAAAATAATAAAAATAAATCTTTTAAGAAAAAGTTTACTAAGCTCCAAAGAACTTGCATTTGGGTTGATTAATTTTTGTCCCAGAATTAATTGTGGGATATTTTGTCTAAGCACCAAATTGATACGTTTACCCTGGAATATTTTGGGAGAAGAAAGCTGCAAAAAGTCCTGCAGAAACTCAAATCACTTCCAGTCTCCATACGCAGAGGTAATAACTATTGTTTCCTTTGCATATTTCATTTGTGTTTGTATTTACGTACGTATCATCTGTGTATTTACTGACGTTCTTCTGTTACCGTCTGTTTAAGAGAAAGCTGTGTGAACTGGGCAGGACCTCCAAAACATTAGAACTCCACAGAAATGATGAGTTCTTCAATGACCTGGTACAGGAGCAGCAGTTCTTGGAATGCGGAGTTCACTGACTCACATCGGTTTGCACTCGGAGTGAGTGCACGGGGCTCATGAAAAGGCTCTCTCTGGGCCCCGGGACTTCTGGAAATGGCAGGGAACATTAAAGAGGAGGAAAACCCTGTATCAATGAACATGTGGCCATCAGAGAAAAATGGCGCCCTACACTGAAGAAATTGCTGTGAGCAGAACAAAAATTGAACAGGATGGCAAAACGAGACACTTAAGAAAGTACAAAAAAACCCCTCCCAGATTTAAAAGCAGTAGTGATTTTTAAAAATAATGTCTAGAAAAACAAGATATGGAACAAAACTAGGAAAATAGCTAGAAATTAATTATCCCATGTGTTTAAAACATCAGAGGAGGAAACTCAAGCGAGAAAAAAGATACGAACTATATGTCCAGGTAAAAGTCTAAGAAAGCAAATTTTCACGTAAAAAAGGAGCAACAGAAAAGTACTGAGGTCAATACTCCAAGGAATCATTGTGGAAAAAGAAGCAATAAAGAACTTAATAACATTCCTTATAACAAAGCGTGCTAGAAACACAAAGCAAAAATGCCCTTAAAAGTAATTACACACTAAATTAACAGGTATTAATGAAGTGTAAGATATTGAAGCAAATCAAAATCAGAATACCCAAAATTGAAATTGGAGTTCAAAAAAAATTTAAACATTTAAAAAAAAAAACTATTTCAGAAATGAAAATAATCGAACGAATATAAGGAAAAATGCTGTGAGTAAAAAACAATTAGAAAAAAAAAAACGTGTCAAAAGGAATGAAGCATTCCACAGAAAGTTCCATACATTTAAGACAAGCAGGTGACACAGATCAGAGTCTCTGAGAAAGGAAAGAGAAAGCAAATACTAACATTATGATCTTGAAAATGTACTGAAGTAAAAAACATTAAAGGCATATTGAAAAAATAAATTATATACTTAGAATGACCAACATAAGCCACACTTGTAACAAATACAGATCTTTGAGACAAATCTTCTTTAAGACAATGAGATTATCTTTTGACTTTATGATATTAATGGCATCTTCAAAAAGAAATTGAACAAAGATCCTAAGAGAAAGAAAATGCAAGTCTAGGATGTTGGGTCCAGAAAAACTGAGCTTCAAAATTTTCGAAAGATTAAGAATTTCTGACCCACAAGACTAAGGATACTTGTTGCTCCTCAAGGATCCAAGGGCATCGAAACAACAGCCAGGAGCCCTGAGCAGTACGCAGAAATAGAACAGTAAACTTCCTTCGGGACTAGGGAGGGGAGCTTTCTCTGATCCTTGCTTGGTTAACTTTGGGTCCCCACCCTCTCTGGCAATGACCATCAGGATCGCTCCGGAAAAGCCTCATATGTTGGGAAATAAGGGAAATAATAATGATGACAAGCCAGGACAATATTTACACAGTGACGTTGTCCACATTTGCTCATCCAAATGGACAGATCCAAGATTTCTTGGTGTCCCTCGCAATGCCGGTCAGAGGGTCCTGAAGACAAGCACGGAGTGGCATCTGGATTGGCTATCTTTATAGTTTTTTTTTTTTTTTTTTTGATCTCTGGGAGAACAAGTAGGTTTTCATCAAGGTAGGATCAAAGCGCCACGCTTGCTGAAAGCTGATTAAATTCTATACACATGACTCCCTCTGCTTTGCTGCTAGCAGCAGCTCAGGCCTTGGCCTTTGAAATAACAGGAGTGTGTCTGATGAGAGCAAGTTCAAGAGCACCGTGATTGCAAACTCCTAAACGCAGCCAGCTCAGTCGAGCCACCGAGAGGATGAAATGAGATGTTTCTAGGGGGGGAGTCGGAGTGTTCTGCAGTCCTAACAATAATCAAGGGGTGGAAAGATGGATGCCCTGTACCCGAGAGCCATGCACACTGCAAGGGATTTCATCCTTCTGGTCTCTACCGGGGCTGCAGTATCTCCTTATGGCTTTATGCAAATTCCACCACGATTTGCATTGTATTTCTTCATTTTTCTAGTATGCATTCTTGACATTCCTAAGGCACATTTGCTAATACATTTTCCCATAAGATAACTGCCCTTGTGTCTCTCTTCCATTAGTGAACAGAAATCGAGGACGTTCATTGGATGCATCGACATTAGAAAGCATAATAACATATAAGTGGGCAGATGTTTGTTTCAGCGAGTGAATAAGAAATAAAAATTAAAATGATTGTATTGAATACAGTGCTACCTCAACAAATATAAATGAATGAATGATGAAGGCCCAATAAAAAAAATGACTGTAATAGCACCTATAAAGAATGAGAATGTAGTGAAATACATTTATGGCGACAAATGTTTTTGGTGTTGTACGTGTTTCTGGCGATATATTATTTTTACCAGATGAATATATACCTTGTTTCTTTTTTGTTGATGGAAATTAGTGGCCACATTAAAAAAAATCGTATAGGGGAGTAATTGATGAAGGGAAAACTGAACACGTGACATGAGCACCATGGCGTAAGCTGTTAAGTGAAGCAGGTGGGGCCACCCTTGTTGACACTTGCATGCTGCGTCAGGGTGCCGTCTCATGACCCTGCTGTCCCGCTTCCCATCCAGCTTCCTGCTCACGTATCCTGGGAGGCAACAGAGAAGGCTCAAATGCTGGGGTCACTGCCATCATGGGGGACCCTGGAGTTCCTGGCTCCTGCTTTTGATCTGTCCCAGCTCTGTCTTTTGTGGGCATTTGAGGAGTGAAAGAGCAGATGGAAGACCCTGCTATATCGCTCCCTTCGTCCCACCATCAACTCTGCCTTTCAAGTAGATTGAAATAAAGCTTAAAAAAAATTTTTTTTTAATTGCAAAGTCAGATATACAGAGAGGAGAGACAGAGAGGAAGATCTTCCATCCAATGATTTACTCCCCAGGCGGCCACAATGGCCAGCGCTGACCCAATCCGAAGCCAGGAGCCAGGAGCTCTTCTGGGTCCCCACGCGGGTGCAGGGTCCCAAGGCTTTGGGCCGTCCTTGACTGCTTTCCCAGGCCACAGGCAGAGAGCTGGATGGGAAGCAGGACTGCCAAGATTAGAACCGGCGTCCATATAGGATCATGGCGCTTTCAAGTCAAGGACCTTAGTGCTAGGCCACGGCACTGGGCCCAGAAATAAACTTTTGAAAAAAAAAAAATCTCCAGATGTATCTAGAAGGAGCCACTGACATTTTCGTGACTGTCTTTTGAAGGACAGCACATTAAGTTGATCCGATAATGGCGTACGTGCTGTCTGAATGCGGAGCTGTCATGTTCTATGTAACCAATCATTCCAGTGACGTGCTCGTGGAGCCTTTGATTTTTCTAACAAAAACATCCTCGAATATTCATGTGTTTACCTACCTGGGCATGGACCTCACTCACTACAAGTACAGTATCTTGTAGACAGTGTATGTCTTGGCCATTTTGATCTGTGCGGATAGATACATTCTAGAACTAGAGCCATTTGTGGTTGTGACAGTGACAATTCACTCTTTTCATATTCCAGCCCCCCCCCGTTGGATATTGTCAATTTTTATTTTAAAAATGCCGATGAGTGACAACAAGTTAAAGCTTGTTTTAACACATAGATCTCTTTGATTATTCCTGAGAGTGGTTGCTTTTCACTTTCTGTTTTTTGTTTTTGCTATGAGCTTTTTCTGGTCACCAGCCACATAGTCGATACACTCATTCATGTTTCAGGAGAGAGATGCTTGGTTTTTTTTTTCCTTAGCGTGAATTGCTTATTTGTTTATTAAATGTTTTTATGTATTCTAAAGAGAAGTCTCTCACTTGTCATGGCTTTCCAAGTCTTCATGATTTTTTTTGCACAGTAAATGTAAAAATTCGGAGTGGTTACCAAAATTTCAGATTCTTGTAATGTTTCAAAGAGCTTGCTTTCCTAAAGAAATTAAACACAGAAGTCTTAGATGATCCATCAGCCATTCTTGAGTATATGCCCCATGGAGACAACAGGTGTTATTCACAATAACATCCAACATACAGAGACAATGCAAATGTTTGTCCACAGATGAGGAGAGATCATGAAATTATGAGATGTCTACCTACACACACACACACATACACACACACACACAGTTAGCAGGTATATGGAGGAGGGGAAAATAAAGACAAATAAGTGAAAATGTACAATGATGCCATTCTTTTGGATGCATTTGTTGGGGTCACAGGTATAGCATGAGGGCCAATTGTGTGTTAACTGACTAGCAATGGTCTTTACTACATGTCAGATACTCCAAAGCACCGGGTTCAGAGCTGACATCTGGAGTAGTGATTAAGACGTTGCTTGGGAAGCCCCCATGCCACGCTTGAGTGTTTGACTCCTGATTACTGTCTGGGTGTGGTGCAGCCGTAGCCATCCTGACCCCTGTCTTGGTCTGGTCCAGCTGTGCCTATTGCTGGCATTTGAGGAGTGAAAATGCATGGAAGATTTCTACTTCTATCCTTCCCTCTTTTATTGTCTTTCTGCCATTCAAGTAAACATAATTTTTTTTAAATCACATTGTATAGTTGAATATATATTTATAAGTAAATATATATATTTACCTTTGTAAATATTGGGGAGAAGTTGTACCTCTCCACTCACATTTGAAGAAAGAGTAATGAAAAGGTGGCAAAAGGGCATATATTTTGGGTAGGCATTTTGCAATATGTGAAAGTAAATTAAAAGAGTAGCAACTCTGTACCCTAATTTAGAAAATATTAAAGAAGACCCTCTGGTTAGGGAAAATGGTTTCAGATTCTTTTTCCTGCATTGTTGATTTGTTTTTCTGATTTTTATTAATATGAAGAGATTTTGTGCATTCTATAGTTACGGTACCAAGAACACATATTCTCTCCTACTCTCCCACCAATATTTTGATTCATGGCAAATTAAACCTGTAAGCAGAGTAGATTAAAATTGTATTTGTATAAATGCTGTTGAAAGGAGGGTGGAATCGGATTGATTCTGAGAATTTTAGGGGTTCCGTTCAATCAGTACGTACTCCTTTTTTTTTTTCATTGACCCAAATATTCATTAAGTATCAGATACTGTAGTAAGTTTTGATTCAGAGAATTTTAAAAAAAAAAAAAAAAGGCACTTTCAAAGGCTTCCAGCAGGAGGCACTCATTCCTTTGGAATAATGGATGAAATTGTTTTTAAATATTGGATCATCTTCTAAGTTTGTGTATGTGTGTCTGCTTGAAATAATGTGTATATTGTGCTTGTGTGCTATGGGGCAGAATGCCACACGCAATTGTTTTTTTTTTTTTAATGCCATTTCTGATTTGATTTGAATTTGTGTAGGAGAATGGAAGGCTTTGTATATAGGAACAAAGATTGACTTAAAAATAAGGAAAAAATTTTCCATATGTTGATAGTAGTTTAGAAATTATTTTACTGTTATTCAGCCTTTACTGGAAACAACAGTATATTGCTTTCACTTGATAAAGCCTTCTTGTGATTAAGTCATTGAAATTCCTCTTTAAGGCTGATTGAAAAGGAAAATGAATGAGATCTTTGCTAGCGTCTTCTTCAACACACTCACCTTTCTTAGGACATTGTGGTTGGAAGAACAGTCAAATCCCTGGGCTTGAATTCTAGCCCTGCTGCCTACCTGCTGTGGTTATTTTGTGCTAAATTCCTTCTTGCAGTCTATACCAAGGAACATGAGGCAGTGATGCTACAGAGGTGGGGTATGCTATCAAGGATGCATAGTATTCAAGAAAGATCCAGAGAAACCTTACCTGGGCCCTCCTAGAATTGCTTCAAAATACAAAAAATACTAGCACATGCACTGTAACAGTTGTGGGTAATGAGAACTAGGAGGACATAGAGGCATTGAAAGATGGTGGGAGTTGATGTTGACCGCTAGGTTCATCCACATATACAGAGCTGGTATTGGGCCATGGTTAAGTTCAGCTCTCTTGTCTTGTCAATCCATGCAGTCACATTGGAGGAAGCAGCATCGCAAGGAGGGAATGAGTCTTGAGAAGAGGAGAGAAATGTGGCAGAGGCATGGGTGAACATCTTCCCTTTGCGCAAGATGGACTTGCCTAATCCCATTTTCTTTCCACTCTTTATAGTGGATGGCATCTGCATCTTCAAATGCTTCCTCAATGAGAACACGGAATGCTGCCGTGTGGGTCAGGAGTCCTTTCTGATCACTCTGGGGTCCAGCACCGTTTGGCTGAAGTTTGCGTCTCAAGCTGGTGAGTTGGGCACCTGTTCGGACACCCCGTCTTTCATACAACTGCATCCCCCAGATAGGTTGGTTTGCAGGTTTTGCTCACCGCTTGGCTTCTGGAAGCCTGTTTCCTTGTTGTGGGTTGTTGACAGTAGATGAGATAGTTTCTACCTGCTGTTGGCTTGCTACCACGTGACACCGAGGGAACAATCTTCCACTGCAGCTTTGGATCCTTAGCCCTGTTTTTGTGCCTGTTTTACCCAAAGCTGGGAGAGACACACCACCAAGTGCAGCCCGCCTCTTAACCCCTTCTGCTGATTCTCCTAAACGCTGAGGTTGATGATGGAAATGTGATTCCTTTTCAGTGAATTCAGAATGACTTCATTCGTTTTTGCCTTGCATCCATTTGTTTAGAATTTTTAGACTCTGGACAACAGAAGACATGCATCTGAGAAGTAAAGTAAGATACAACTGAAGTATTTTAAGCAGATACTAAGTGACCCACTGGGAAATTTCCAGCCTAATGGGAAAATAAGTCAACAAAGCCTTACATCTACCTTGGATAATTGGTTGTCATTCTTTTAATTTAGATATAGGCTAGGCTGTTCCACTTCACTGATGATGTAAACCCAGGTGTAGGAAGAGTATTGGTAATGATACAGATTCTCCCATGATTAGCCAAAATCCACATAGCTTTTTAATTTTACTGTTACCTGCCTGGGATAAGGAAGTTACAGTACCTGATCTTAAACTGAGTATGGAGTAAGAATGCATCAATTCATCTGTTGACCCATCAGTCTTTCTTATTTCTACCTATTATCTGGTGGACATTGAGGTTCTTTCAAGCTTTTGGCTAGTGTAAACGAAGACTCCAGTAAACATTTGCATACAAAATTTTTGTGGGAGTATATGTGTTTCTTTTCTTTTTGAGTCAATACATCAGAGTAAGATGTTCAGGTTGTAAAGTAGTTCTATCATTATTTTATACTCCCACCAAAAGAGAATGACAATTTTAGTTGTTCCACAGCCTTTGCCAGTATTCTTTCAGATTGAATGTATTTAGCCTGTTATAAGTTTTTTATTTTTGCTTTAATAATTTATTTTTGGGGCCCGGCACAATGGCGCAGTGGTTAAGGTCTTCACCTTGCACACCCGGGATCCCATATGGTTGCCGGTTCTAATCCCGGCGGCCCTGCTTCCCATCCAGCTCCTTGCCTGTGGCCTGGGAAAGCAGTCGAGGATGACCCAAAGCTTTGGGACCTTACACCCGAATGGGAGACCCGGAAGAGGCTCCTGGCTTCGGATCGGCATAGCATCGGCTGTTGCACTCACTTGGGGAGTGAATCATCGGACGGAAGATCTTCCTCTCTGTATATCAGCCTTTCCAATAAAAATAAAACAAGTCTTAAAAAAATAATTTATTTGGAAAACATTTTTCTTTGTGGTGCATGTATTTGGCGCAGTGAGAAATATTGGTCTCTAGTTGTTTCTCTGTTCTGTCTCTGGCTTTGGTGATATTGGCTTCAGAGAAAGAGTTTGGAAGGATTGCCTCCCTTTCTATTGTTTAGAATGGCTTCTGGAGGATTGGGGTAAGTTCTTCCTGAAACATTTGGTAGAATTTTGAAGTGAAAACATCTGGTCTAGGGTTATTCTTTTTTGGAAGGAATTTAATTACTGATTCAATCTCAGTCCTTGTTATAGGTCTGTTTAAATATTAATTGTCTCATGATTCAATTTTGGTAGATTATAAGTGTCCAGAAATGCATCTGTTTCTTTTAGGTCTTCTGATTTGTTGGCATACAGTTGCTTGTAACAGTTCCTGATTATTCTACGTATTTTGGAGGTATCTGCTATTGTATTTTTTGTGTGTGTTTTCTCCCTCCTATTTGATTAGTTGGTCTAGTGGGGAATCTATGTTGATTTTCTCAAAAAAAAAAAAAAAACACAGCTCATTGATTCATTGGTCTTATGCATTATTCTTTTAGTCTCTATTTGGTTTATTTCCTCCCTTCTTTTGATTATTTTTTTTTTCTGCTAATCATGGGATTGCTTTGTTGTTTTTTCTAACTTCTTCAAACATATGGTTAGCTCATTTACTTAGTACTTTTCCAATCTCTTGACATAAGTATAGATTGAAATGAACTTTCCTCTCAACATTGCCTTGATTATGTCAAGGCAAGTTTGATATGTTGTGTTGATGCCTTCATTCATTTCCAGCGTTCTTAAAAATTTGCTCTTTGATTGCTTTTATAACCCATTGTTTGGCAGCATATTGTTCAGTTTCCAAATATTCACATATCTTCTTGGTATTTCGACTTATTGGTCTCCAATTTCACTACGTGATGGGAAAAAAAAAAGTGTATTTTCTTTCTGTAGGATGAAAGGTTTGATAGATATCAATTAAAGTCCATTTGCTCTAGTGTCTGGGTGAGCTCCGTTTTTCCCTTGCTGAGTTTCTGTCTTGTTGATCTGTCCATTCAGGTTAATGGGTGATAAGGTCCTCCACTATCATTGTGTTGGAGTCTGTTTCTCCCTTCAAATTCGTTAATGTTTGTTTCATGTAGTTAGGTGTGCTGGCACTTGATACATTTATTATGGTGATCTCCTCTTACTGAATGGATCCTTGGATTGTGATGTGGCTTCCTCCATCTCTTTTAATGTTTTTCAAGTCAAAAGACCATCGTACCTAATGTAAGGATGGCTATACCAATTTGTTTTTTCTTCCCATTAGCCTGGAGTCTCCTTTTCCATCCTTTCAGTTTTCAGCTATCTTTTTTGGTGAGATGTGTCTTAACAGATAGATGGGTTTTGTTTTTTGATCCAGTCTGCTAATCTATGATGCTTGATTGTTGAGTTTAAGTCCTTTACATTCAGGGTTATACCACTAGGTAGTGATTTGGTTCTTCCATTTTAGGAATGGGTGGTTGTTTGCTTGATTGAGTCTTTATCATTTTGTTGGGATGTTTCCTATGTTTGCCTTTGGTTTTGGTAGGTGTTACTCCTTTTATCTGTCGTTAGGACATCTTTAAGTATCATTTGTAGGGCAGGTTTGGAAAAAGGCAAATTCTTTTAACTTGTCTTTACTGTGGAAGACTTTGATTTTATGTTTGTTCAAAGGCAAACGAAAGCTTTGCTGGGTATATTATTCTGGGCTGACAAGTTTTTGGTTTTAGAATCCATTCGCTTCTGACCTGTAGAGGTTCCTCTGAGAGGTCAGCAGTGAGTCTGATTGGGGTTCCTCTATAAACTAATTTTTTTCGTGTGCATATTTAAGTATCTCTTCCTTGTGTTCAAGTGATGATAGTGTGATTGTGGCATATTGTGGCCACAAAAGACCACTTTTGGTCAACTTTATGGGGGGTTCTTTGCCACTCCTGTATTTTGTGTCTCAATTCCTTCTCCAAATTAGGGAAATTCTCACTTACTATTTCATTGGATGTGTTTTTAAGCCTAGCTTCTCTTTCTGTGCCTTTTGGAACTCCCATAACTCTTACAATCAGCTTTGAATCGTTTCCCTTAATTCTTAAATGGTTTTCTCAGCTCAACTCAGTTCCTCTTCTACCTTTTTGATTGTGTCCCCTTGTTGAAGGAAATGTCTTCTATTCTGAGATTCTATGCCTCGCTCTATCACTGCAGCTTCCCACCGAATGTGTAGTTGGCTGCGTTGTATTCTTCTTTTCTAATATGTCTACTTTTGATTCATTGTGGCTATTTCCTGTGTAACATATTTAAAAAAATTTTTTTTGAACTCCTGTATATGCTTTTTATTAAGAAGCTTTGTAACAATTTAGACAACTATTTATTCCCCTATTTCCTCAATGTCTTCGTCAGTTAACAGCACTCTTGCTCTATAATGATTGGGGAGATTTGGTTCTTTATACACCCCAAACCCTCAGAACACGGTAGAGCACACTGAGTATCTCTCATCCAAAATGCTTATATACACTCAGACTTTGTAGCTTTTTGGGTATTGAATATCTGAATCCGTTGTACTTGTTGGCCATTCCAAATCATCATGTCTGAAACCCCAGATGTTCCCCAAATCAGAAATGCTACTGTTACGTCACCACTCAGAATGCCTCAAGCCTCCAATTTGTAGGTTTAGGATTTGGGATTGAATATTTTTGAATTAGGAATGCTCACTCTGTATAGGATACTTAATTCAAGAGTCAAATCCGACACAAACACGACTGTGAGTAAGCTTTGAGGGAAGATCGACATGGACTGGGCGATTTAGAATTTATTTTAGGAGAAAATGCTGCTAGGAGTGCAAGATAGTCCATGAAAAACTTTATTAACATCTCAACTAAGGCCTTAGGCAGGCTTGGTGGGTAGTAACCTCTTGACCACATGTTAGAGAAGCAGGTGGCACTTCGGTGATTCAAAAATGTGTTTGAATTGTAGAAAGACAGAATTAAATCAAACTCGCCTGCTTCTCAGTCTTTTTTTCATTTATGGTCAGACACCAGACAAGTATCAGACAGAAATAATTTAAAGAGGCTTAAGTAAGAAAGAAATCCAGGTGGCAATAAACTAGAAATAATTGAGAGATCATCTAAATGAATGCAGCACCCTCCTGTGAGCAAGGTTAGATTCACCCCAGAAGCCAACATGTGCAGGCCACAGCTTGGGTGGTTTATCAGATGCTCTTTATGGAGAATATCACTTGGTTGGTCCCAGGGAATAAGTACATGTGAACACCTTGGTGAGGAACTATGTTAACAGTCAACGAAAACAAATCCATAAGCTTTTTTTTTTAAAAAAAATTATTTTTATTGGAAAGGCAGATATACGGAGAGGAGGAGAGACAGAGAGGAAGGTCTTCCATCTGCTGATTCACTCCCCAGGTGGCCGCAACAGCTGGAGTTGAACCAATCCGAAGCCAGGAGCCAGGAGCTCGTGGAATATCCCACATGGGTGCAGGGTCCCAAAGCTTAGCTTTGGGCCGTCCTTGACTGCTTTGCCGGGCCACAAGCAGGGAGCTGGATGGGAAGTGGGGCCTCTGGGGTTAGAACCGGCGCCCAT